TTTATATGCTCTTTCTGTGATATTTTTCTGCTTATTTTATTTCAAAGGATTAATTATTAGCGCAGCACCAAGTTACTATATTTCAATACTGTCCATTGTGGTACAGTTGCAAGAAAAAGTATGTGAACCCCTTGGGATTACATGGAGTTTTGCATGAATTGGGCATAAAATGTGCTCTGAACGTCATCTAAGTCACAACAATAGAAGAACACAGTCTGCTGAACATAATACTACATAAACATTAGATGTTGCCATGGTTTAATTGCACATAACATGTAAACATTCACAGTGCAGGGAGGAAAAAGTATATGAGGCCCTAGCTTAATGACTTCTCCCAGAGCTAATTGGAGCCAGGAGTGAGCCAACCTTGACTCCAATCAGTGTGATGATATCAGATGTGTTGCTGACAGCTGTCCTGCCCTTAAAAAACACACACCTGTTTTGGGTTTACTGGTTTCAAGAAGCACTGTCTAATGTGAACCATGCCGCGCAGAAAAGAGCTCTCAGAAGACCTACGATCAAGAATTGTTGACTTGCATGAAGCTGGAAAGGGTTACAAAAGTATCTCCAAAAGCCTTGATGTTCATGTGTCCACGGTAAGACAGACTGTCTACAAATGGAGAAAGTTTAGCACTGTTGCTACTCTCCCTAGGCATGGTCATCCTGTAAAAATGACTGCAAGAGCACAGCGCAGAATGCTGCATGAGATAAAGAAGAATCCCAGAGTGTCAGCTAAAGACCTACAGAAATCTCTGGCACATGCTAACATTTTTGTTGACACATCTACAATAAGGAAAACATTAAACAAGAATGGAGTACATGGGAGGACACCACGGAGGAAGCCATTGCTGTCTAAAAAGAATATTGCAGCATGTTTGAAGTTTGCAAAAGAGCACCTGGATGTTCCACAGCACTACTGGCAAAATATACTGTGGACAGATGAAACCAAGATTGAGTTGTTTGGGAAGAACACACAACACTATGTGTGGAGAAAAAAAGGCACAGCGCACCAACATCAAAACCTCATCCCCACTGTAAAACATGGCGGAGGGAGCATCATGGTTTGGGGCTGCTTTGCTGCCTCAGGGCCTGGACGGATTGTTGTCATTGATGGAAAAATGAATTCCAGAGTTTATCAAGACATTTTGCAGGAAAACGTACGACCATCTGTCCGCCAACTGAAGCTTCGCAGAGGATGGGTGATGCAACAGGACAATGACCCAAAGCATACAAGTAATTCAACAAAACAATGGCTGCAACAGCACAGAATACGCCTTCTGGAGTGGCCCAGTCAGAGTCCTGACCTCAACCCGATTGAAATGCTCTGGCATGACCTTAAGAGAGCGATTCACACCAGACATCCCAAGAATATTGCTACATTGAAACAGTTTTGTGAAGAGGAGTGGTCCAAAATTACTCCAGATCGTTGTGCAGGTCTGATCTGCAACTACAGGAAACGTTTGGTTGAGGTTATTGCTGCCAAAGGAGGGTCAACCAGTTATTAAGTCCAAAGGTTCACATACTTTTTCCTCCCTGCACTGTGAATGTTTACATGTTATGTGCAATTAAACCATGGCAACATCTAATGTTTGTGTAGTATTATGTTCAGCAGACTGTGTTCTTCTATTGTTGTGATTTAGATGACGTTCAGAGCACATTTTATGCCCAATTCATGCAAAACTCCATGTAATCCCAAGGAGTTCACATACTTTTTCTTGCAACTGTATGTGGTAGGGTGTTATCGGCTATATTTAGAGGTTGACATTCTGAGCATGGGAGGAGTATATAAATATATTTTTTTATTATTATTATTATACAGGATTTATATAGCGCCAACAGTTTGTCCAGCACTTTACAATATAACGGGAGACAATACAGCAACAATACAGTTCAATACGAGAGGGATAGGAGGGCCCTGCTCCTCGGAACTTATTTATGATACTATGATAGTCAGTTCCCACACAGCTTCAGTGTCAGATTGCCCCCCGCACTGTCACAGCCCCACTGTCAGTCACTGATCACTTGCATTACTAGAAATAAAAATAAATAAATAAAAAATAAAAAACAATTAATATACACTTATTAGGACTTTTGTTTTTATCAAAGACATGGAGCAGAATACATTTTTAACCTAAATTTATGAAGACATTTGATTTTTTTTATTGAATATATTTTATAAATTATATACATTTTTGATCTTTTTTCATTTATATAATAAAAAAATGTAAAACCTAGTGGTGATCAAATACTAACAAAAGAAAGCCTTATTAGTGTCAAAAAAGTTATATAAATTTCATGCAGGTGCAGTGTTGCCACTATGGCCAGTTAAAGAAGCACAGTTCCATATAGCAAAAAAAATGCTCTGGTCCTGAGGGGGGTAAAATTTTCCAGAGCTGAAGTGGTTAAGGGGTCCTTAGGCTGCAACATTATCACCTCCAAACCTCATGTCCCCAATAAAGTACTGTCCCTGTTGGACACTGTAGAAGACTGCAAGTCTCCCAAGAGCCCACATGTAGGTGGGAATGTAGGTTTTACTGGTTTAGAGGCCGAAATGTTAACTGGTAAGTTGCCCTTTGGAAAACTATATCAGTTCACAGAGCGATAATCCCTAGTTCGTCTTGAACTTTTTGGATTGGCTTTGAGTTCACTCATGCCTTTTTATAACATACGTTATTGGTTGTTCAAGTCTCCAGTCTGTTACCTTGCTATTACTTTAATAAATTCTCACTTTAAAGGGTCAGTCCACCCAAAACTGATATTTCCAGATGGTAAATGTTGGTAAGTTAAACCTCATGACAGTTTCTTCTGTCCCTCAGGGACTCCCTGTGCTGAGTTTATAAGACTACATACCTGGTGCGGCCATTATCTTTCACTTATCATGCTGGAGTTATTCATTTTATATGATGAACACATAAGAGTGAGTGTGAAAACCCAAAATTCCCAGGTGAACAGGAACAAAGTTGGAAATGATGGCAGGGAGGTCTCACTGTTGGTGTATCCACAATATCTACTTAGTCCGCCAGGCTACATTTGAGCTTGCAAGGAGTGAAGCACTAAATGCAAAGTCTAGTAAACCAGAGAAGACAATCAAAATGTATTTTTCTGAATCCAGATCAGCTCTACCAGAACCAAGGTCAATGGTCTTATGTGTTGTGTACTCAGCAGTGAGGGGACACTCACTTCCAGAGGCTTCTATAGAAGAGAAGAGGAAGCTCCATATTCTACTGCACAATATCTTACATCACATCACAGACAGAGGGAATTAGATAGTTGTGGACTTATCAATCCTCTACATCGCATCTGTCAAACAAAATGCCCACGGGCCGAATCCGGCCCACCAGGCCATTTCATGTGGCCCTTGCACCTCTCCTGCAGCACGGCACCCCCTTTTCTCTTTCCCACCTTGTCTTATCAGTCAACAGCACAGGGGGACAGAACTCCTGCTACAGATCCTGCACCTCTCTGGATAGCTGCAGCACCCCCGCAACTCCTCCTCCCCGGTCTCAGCATTGAGCAGACTCTAGCAGCTGTCTCGAGCCTTCCTGTGGTCCTCCTCCAGACTCTGTATTTTCTGCTTCCCAGCTTCTTCCCAGCAGCAACACAAGGTAAGGGGCATGCACCTGTATAGGAGGAGGAGGATATTTGACTTCTGGTGGTGGGGGGGCACTTGACGATGTAATGGGGTGGGGTGCTCTGGACATTTAGTCTTGTCTACAATTGACCCTTTGAGGTCAACCATAATGCTGAAGTAGCCCCCTAAGAAATTGAGTTTGACAATTCTGTTCTACATGGATTCACACCTTGTCCTCCTTTTTATTATATCTCAACCAGACAACATTCCTGAACTCAATTCCTATCCTTCTTTATTTTTATCCTTTATCCTCCTTTACTTTTATCCTTTATCCTTCCACCCCTAATCCAACCCATATCAACTCCTCAATTGCTTTGGCAATGCTCAAATGAAGTAGGAGCTACAAATAAAATACTTTGAATGAAAGAAAGAAAGAAAGAAAGAAAGAAAGAAAGAAAGAAAGAAAGAAAGAAAGAAAGAAAGAAAGAAAGAAAGAAAGAAGAAAGAAAGAAATAAAGAAAGAGAAAGAAAGAAAGAAAGAAAGAAAGAAAGAAAGAAAAGAAAGAAAAGAAAGAAAGAAAGAAAAGAAAAAGAAAGAAAGAAAGAAAAAAGGAAGGACTTTTTAGCTCTAGAAGAACCAATGTCAATGTTCTCTGTAAAGCTCTGTGTGTGATGTACAGGCGTACCTAGGTTTACAAATTTAATGCGTTCTGCGGGACTTTTCGTATTGTGAAAAATTTGTAAACCAAAACGCGGTTTCCCATAGGAATGCATTGAAAACCAATTAATCTGTTCCGGAGGTCAGAAAAAAGTAAAAAAAAGTCTTATCTGTTCAAAACTCTTTATAATGTGCACTTTAACCTCCATATCAGTCGTATTATGTCCATATTTCTGTGCTCAAAGCGGTACATTTTTTTGTATGGAAATATGTATTTTTTTTATTGTAGGCCTGTAATTTTTAGGAATAACTCACTGAAATCTGTACAAACAAGAGTCTAGTAAACATCCCGGGTATGATAAAATTTTAAACACGAAATCAAAAATGATAATTTAATAAATAATCATAAAAAATAATAATATAATAATAATAAATTTAATTCAATAATATAATCAAACCAAAAACACTGAAATTTGAAATATAGCTCCAAGTTTGCACATCACTGAGCAAAGTCGCAAAATCGTTTTCAGTGTCTGATGACAAATTTCCTGACGAATCATTATCACTCAATTCTGCAAGTGGTTCTGATTTACTATCGCTGTTCTCTAGTTGGTCTAAAACCGCTTTTGACCTAAAGGGACGCTTTTTGGACGCCATGGATGTTTCTCAGTTTCCAGGCAGAAAGAACAGTAAAAATGCAGGCAGGGCACAGGACAAAGCACTCGGGACAAAATGTATGTGAAATGGTTTGATACAGTAATGTTTTACTATGTGATTTTAGTGAATGTCACTTGTTGTCATTTTCAAATTTCCCGTTGTTCCGTCCCCCGTACGTCCCGATGTCGCAGGGAACGGAACCCAGATGACAGATGCCGGCATCCGCCGGAGGACTATACAGGGGACACTGCAGGAGGGACATTGCGGGAGCGCAGGACAAGGTAAGTGAAGAACAGATGCTGGAGCAGCGCCGCATGGTAAGCCCGAGTGTAGCTCGGGGTTACCGCTTTTGGTACTGAAACTTTACCCCGAGCTACACTCAGGTATACCATCAGGGAGGTTAAAGGCATAAATACTGTACAGGGACATGATTAAAAATTAATTTGTAAATGCATTGAATACCAATTCATCCGTTCCGGAGGTCAGAAAAAAATAAAAAAGAGTCTTATCTGTTCAAAACTCTTTATAAAGTGCAATTTAAAGGCATAGTACTGTACAGGGACAAAAAAAGAAAACCGTAAATGCAATGAAAAACAATTAAACTGTTTATATTGTGAAAAAATTTGTAAACCGAGGCATTATTTTCAATGGATTTTCATTCGTAAACCAAAAATTACGTTAACCAAGGCGTTTGTAAACCTAGGTATGCCTGCACCTTCATCTAATGTGCAGAATCTGCATAATTACATGAGCACTACTGCAGTGAGTGTACTCTGTCTCCATCTTGTGGCCAAAGAGCAAATTGGAGGTTCTACATTTCTGAGTAATGATTACTCAGGATACAGAGCAGAAGTGGCCCCTTTAGACATCAAACGTGTTTCTAGAAGTCTCAGCTGTAAAGACTGTAGGTAACATGCTATAATTCACTTTTTTCAGGCAAATGCTTTCTTGTATTTTAAATCACAGTGGAAAAAATGATTTTGTTCGGTTAGGACAGAGCTTTAACTAAGGGTGCCGACAGCCATAGAAGGGGTTCAGTTGGACAGATGTGATGCAGATGCCCTCTGGCACCTTTGATGTCATAGTGGCCCAGCTGCTTTGCCAAATTTTGCCTGCTTATGTGACCAATGTTTACTACCATCTCTACTGTCAGGAAACCAATACTGCTAATGCTCATTTCCATGCAGCGAATGCTTGTGCATATGTACCCAGCACACAAACGAGCTCAGGCTAATATGCACTGATACGTAGGAGCATTTGTGTGCACCAGCGCACATCAGCAAGCATGTCCTCCAGCATTGGTGCCAAGCTGCCTATTTAACCACTTGGCCTTTGGAAGATTTACCCCCCCCTTCCCCTCTTAAACAGGCCATATTTTGCGATACAGCGCTGTGTTACTTTAACTAATAATTGCGCGGTCATGCAGTGGGTCTGCACCCAAATTAACTTTATGCCCTTTTTTTCCCCACAATTGGAGATTTCTTTTGGTGGTAATTTATCACGCTACATCTTTTTTTTTTGTGCTATAAACAAAAAAAAGATCAACAATTTTGAAAAAAAACACAATTTTTGACTTTTTGCTATAAACCATATCCAATAAAAAAAAGTAAAAAAATAAAATGTATTCATAAATTTAGGACAAAATTCATTCTATACATGTTTTTGCTAAAATAAATCCCAATAAGTGCATAATAATTGGCTTAAGTGAAAGTTAGTGTCTACAAACAGCAGTTTATATACTGGAATTTTTAATTTTCTTTTATACTAGTAATGGCGGTGAACAGCGACTTATAGCGGGACTGCGGCAGGCATTCTGACACTGGATGGGAACTGGCTAACTGCCACTGACATCCCCAGTGACACTAATACAGTAATCAGTGCTAATATAAAGCACAGACACTGTATTAATAAAGCTGGGCAGGAAGGGGTTAACATCTGGGGGTGATCAAAGGGTTAATAGTGTGCTGTGTGCGTTTTACTAGGGAGACATGCTACTTTCTATCTCTCTGCTGTGCAGAGAGATAAAAAGCAGCATGCCCATGCTGACAGGAGAGAGATCTGTGTTGTTTACACACTTCCTCCCCTTTCAGCCCTGCCAACTATCACGGACTCCGACCAGGAATCACCGGCTGGGTCCCGGTGATTGACATTTCCAGCAGCCAATATTCATGTATGCATATATATATATATATATATATATATATATATATATATATATGTGATTTTGAGCAGCCCTGCCGCCCTGTAGCAGTATATCTGATATGGGGCGGCTCTTAAGTGGTTAAAAGAGATCCTACTGTATGCTAACGGTGGATGTTCTTCAGCTCCCTGTGATCTGTGTTCCTGTTTTTGTTGACTGATCTTCTGTTGCTGACCCAGGTTGCTCCTGACCTTGCTCTGTGGATTCTGGAAACTGACCTCGGCTTGTCTCTGGCAAGAATCCACAGATCAAGGTCAGGAGCAGTTCGGGTCAGCAACAGAAGATCAGTCTCTGCCTGATCTCCTGGTGCTGACCTCGGCTTGCTACTGGACCTTACTCGGTCTGCTTCCTGACCACACTGCTGTCTCACCATATACCACCCTGGCTAACCTTGACTATGTCATTGACTGTGGTAGTCATCTGCACATGAGCTGCCGATTCTGTGCTTCTTTGAGCCTTGTACCTCTGCCACCTTATTCAGGGATGCTTGGACCAGAACCGCAAGGGAAGCTCTCTTGTCAACTCCACCTCCAACCAAAGTACATGAAATCTACTTTAAATAAAGCCCAACAATGGAAATTGGGATGAGTTATTGTCTGTCCAACCAATTCTACCACAAGACAGCAGTTGGCTAGGCCTCACGTAGCCTTGTATCAAATCATACCCGCGGCTAGCATTAGGTCTGTGTTTTTTAGACACCTAAAAAGGAACACTTTACTTGACTCTAATACTTAAAGTAAAACTAAAACCACATTTTGTTCTTTTTTCCATTTTGGATAGAGTAAGGAAGGGTTATAACAACTGTCAGTTTATTTTGCCACCTGTGTCCCATTGGGGAGATTTGCCTTCACTTCCTGTCCCATAGCCAAAGTAGGAAGTAAAAGGAGATCCTTCCAAAGTGAGGGAGATTTCCCCTCTCTTTCTGTTCTGGTGACAACTCAAAGTTTGGGATTTTCTTTTACTTTCACTCTTGTTGATAACGGTAAACAGGACATATAACAGGAGGGTGAATCTCCCTAACAGGGGAACAGAGAGCAATGAAAACCTGATAGGTGTTCTATTCCCTCTGCACTCTATCCAAAACAGAAAAAAAGGTATTTACACATTAACCTTAACCTAGAACTTAATCCTCCTCACCCTGACCCTAACCTCTAATCCAGGGGTGGACTGACAACTCATGGGGCCCCCAGGCAATAGTGGATCATGGGGCCCCTGTGTCCTTGCCCAAACTCAAAAAAGCCTATGAAAAAGGTACCAGGGGCATCTCATGGGGCCCCCTACTGACCCGGGCCCTCGGGCAGTGCCAGAGTTTCCAAATGGTCAGTCCACCCCTGCTCTAATCTTAACCTAACTAAAAACCTGAATTTAACACATATATATATGTATTTATTTATTTATATTAGTTTCAACATTACAAAAATAATAATCGTCACATTACTGCACATTACAAAAAACATTTTCCTATGCATATTTTCCCCAGTACCCTCCCTCCATAACCCCAACCCCCCCCCCCCACCCAAGCCCCCTTTATCAACTCCCATTTCTTTTTCCTATTTCTCCTATACTCTCTGTAACTTCCTTCTCCTCCTTCATTTCCTCCTGCCTCTCTTTTCCCTACCTTTTTAGATATTATTATTCTTTCTTCTCTTCCTTTTCTACTCCTACTAGTTCAGCGTATCTATTTGTACTTTTATACTCATTGCATTCGTCGTCTGAATTTGATTTCTAATTTTAAATTCCCCTGAAAAAGTGTTTTTTTTAATTGATTAATAGATTGTAAGCTCTTAGGAGCAGAACCCTCCTAACCCTCTTGTATTGACTTGTATTGCAATTGTACTGTTTCCCTTTATAGGGTAAAGCAGTGCGCAAACTGTTGGAGCTGTTCAAATCCTCAGTGAATGCTGGGATATCATCTACAGTAAATGATGGTATCTGAAAATCTGTTCAAATATTTAAATAAAATGACAAAAAAATAAAACGCTTGTGGATAAGGAAAAACGTTCCAACCCAATAGGCTGAGACTTGGTGTGACACTGCGGCCTGGCGTTTTTGTATTTCACTGCTTATACTGATCTACATGATGTACTGTAAATGCAATATTTGTTATGACTAAAACAAGATTTGATTTGACTGCACTATGAGGCCTCTCCCTTTATGCCTTGTATGTATGGGTATGGATGAGCGACTGGGCTCATCCATAACAGGGGCAGACTGACAACTCATGAGGCCACCAGGCAATACTGGATCATGGGGCCCCTGTGTCCTTGCCCAAACTCAAAAAAGCCTATGAATAAGGTACCAGGAGCATCTCATGGGGCCCCCTACTGACCCCGGGCCCTCGGGCAGTGCTCGAGTTTCCAAATGATCAGTCCACCCCTGATCCATCCACTTTGTCAATCTGGTTGCACAATCGGCTGATGGTTTGACAATGAGAGTGCCAGCCTAATGTTTAAATTCAAGCGATTTTGATCTCTTTGATTTGAGATCAACTGCATTTGGCAAAAGGCCATTTTTTTCTCTTTTTGGAGCAATGGAGCACTTTATATGAAGAAGTTTACAAGCACCAAGCACTTTTTTCTTCACTAAATGTGAGTATTGCCCCTATTTAGTGAATACAAGCAGCGCACATACTTCACAGTGTTATCATCAAAACGTTAGTGATAAATCTCCAATTATCACTCATACATTATATATCATTCATTAATGCATATCTTAACCATTATCTCGATAACAAAAAAATAAATTAATAATAAAAAATACAAATTAATAAATGCAGCACATAATGTGATATCTCAAAAAAAGTTCCATGACATAAAAATTATATATAGTAAATAAAATAAAATAGAAAATATATATATATATAATTAAAAAAGTACCATGATAAAAGATGATAAAGAAGAAATTAAAGTCCAGTAATGAAATAACTTCATGTGGCGAAAAAAGGTATAGAGAACTTGTGCAGTGCCCACCATGCACTCAGGTGTGCACTCACCAGATATTGCCTTTGTTAAAGCATACTCAAGAGGATATCCACTAATCTGACCAGGAGGTTCCTCAAGAACAGCCCACTTAATGATTGATTGCCAGGATAATTCAAAACTCCATTCCACCATATCATGAAAAGAGAAGAAAACAAAGAATCCGCTCCAATAGTATATTACCCAAGACAGATAGATTTATTTACTCCAAGTAATGCACTTACAATGTTAAAAACAACAACAAGCCCAAATAGTGTGTCTTTGTGACCAGCAGATACTGCATGGTGCTCTCACCACCTCCGGAACTGTCGGACAGAATGCCATCACGTCAGTTCCAGTTACGGATCTACATCACTTCTGGTCTG